TACTTCCACAATGCAATTTCCTGGACATGGGCAAAACCGATAGCGATACCTACAAGGCCGTCTCGGGCAGTCAGTCCACCCGTCGTCTGGATGCGAGTGCATGGGATGGGGCCAGCCGCCAACCGTCTGTCTTTCTAGAAGAATCAAGCAGGCGGCGTTATTTTTAGATCATGCTGCGTTAAGCTTGAGCTGTCCTTGAGCTGTCCTTGAGCTTCTTCTTGGGAGGGTGGAATGTTCTAAAGCGTTGAATGATCTGCATGGTGGGAGAAAAAAAAACCTAATGAACCGTTAGGATTGGTATACCTCGTGGAAAAAGTGACGCTCATACATCAAAATGTATGAAGGTTGTCAAAGGCCCATCTGAGGGATATCCGAGGGACATCTGAGAGACACCTGAAAAGGATTGATCTTTTTCGTCACCATCTCTTACACAATGCATTCTTCTTTACATCAGCCCAGCCATTCTTTCACGATAAGCTGCTTACCCCTCTGTCGTATAAGATCAGCTCTGTCGTATGAGATGAGAAACACAAAACAAGAGGAGCAAGCACCAAGCAAGATATCCATACACTCTGCATACGTCTCTATGCAGATGAAAGACCGGGTATGACCATCCAATTGGCCGTATCGATAATTCAATCATCCAGCCACCATCAAAAATCTTCATCAAGACCTCAACATTAGCCTTTCGTAACCTATAACACATTTCTTGGCCCTCCATAGCATATTCATGACCAGAATGTTCTTCCATGCGGTAACCCTTCCTTCAACCAGTCAATGTAGCCAACGTATACAGCTGAATATCCGCTCTACGTAAGAAGAATCACTATACGTATATACCAAAGATACAAGATGAGTGATAATAGCTCACAATCAATTCATTGGCAATTGATTCACTAACAATGAATCCGATTGAAAACGAGTAGATAATCCTAAGTGAATCGCAAACCAGTTACCTGAGACAGTGTATCCAAAGAAAAAGCAATTATTGGTATGAAGTAATGAAGTGTCCAGTCTATCATCTCTCAATGTTTCAAATCTATTATTGTAGAGTTCAGTCAGATGCCAAATGAACAATATATTCGTTCACAAGCATCCTCTAGGATAAGGACCATTGTTTATGATAAGATACCAGTGCAGGCAAACCAACTCCCGGGTGAGCTGGTTCGTACAGAGGAAAGAGGAAATGGATAGCATCACCCCGAGCATGGTAAAGAGAAATCTAGACAATTTGATGAACGACAAATACCACCAAATACCACGCGTCACTTCACAACTGATTCACACTACTCATACACTACACACAATGGCTTCAATAGACAAAGCGCAACCCCTAGATGAAACCACGGATTCAAAGTCGTCTCCAGGTATCACCTCAAACATCAGATCTACAGATATATGGGTGGTTTTTCCAGAAGATAGTTTTCCTACGGGCGGAACACATCCTCTCTAGCAACTCTTCGAATCTTTTGAATCTCAATCGGTGACGAGGTTACGTACACCAACTTCGACGTTTATGGGTATGGGGATAATGTATTGGACGCTTCTTCTTACACCGACGGAGGTGAAGATGCTAGAGGAAAGTTCTTTGGTGGGAATTCAATGACTTTCTTGTTGGGGTTTAGCTGTGTGCTAATATATATATTTACAGGTCAATTCTGTATCGCCGTCGGTGGCTGTAAGATATGATATTTGACGAGATGATGAGATAAGTATTCGCTTAGATGAGATGGGATAGAAAAGGTTCAAATCAAAGTATACTAGGTACGATTTTATGTTGGAAATAGCTGCCAGATAATATAACAGTATAGAAATCATACAATATACGATCTATCAAAATTGATACATTGTTACTGTACCGTCTGATGTTTTGGTCTACGATGTATTCACAAAATTACAATCTTTTGGAAATTCATCTTACCAATTATTAGTTCCAGGAACCAGGCAACCTTCTAGGCCTGAATCACATTTAGTCCTATCCACCTCCTAAAATCTTTATTATAATTCCAAGCACGACCCACAATCTCACAACCTTCATTGTCTGTTGACATTTCAATCAATCCCTCAATGCAAACTTAATTATGTCGCAATCTCACTCGACATTATCATTGTTCATTCTTCTGGTGTCAATTCTCCTGTGTATCCCGTATGTCGTCGCAGCACCTTGGGCCACGGACGGTCATGCTCACTTGTCACCTGTAACCCCGCGATATCCTCCACAAGAAGAGTCGGGCATTAAATACCGCAATGTACTTCCCAAATTAAACTGGCTGCGTGATACTGCGATAGAAAAGATCTTCCGTCTCCCTCCCAAGGTCGCAAAGAAACCCCATGTACCAGGAAGTGTGTCGCGACCGACCAATATCCAACTCCCAGCGACTTTACTTGCAAAATATGGCGGCGATAAGGTACTTCGATTCAATCTCACTACGCCAGTGGAGGAGCAAGCATTGGCAGAAGCTGCAGATACACTTTTCCTAGATGTTTGGGAGTTCACAAGTAACTGGGCGGATATTCATTTGAGAGAAGATGATGTATGTGAAATGATCTTTACTGTTGTTGAAGTGCTAACTGACGAAAAAGATTCCCTCCTTACTCGGTCTCTTACCAAAATCTCTACATACTTCATACTCTTATCTAATGCCTGACTTGGCGAAGAGTATTTATCAATCGTATCCATCCACGGCATATGCTGATGTAGCTTTTCCTTCGAAACATGTTGAAAGAGCATTCACCCCAGCTTTGAGAACCAGTACTGTCGATGGAATGGACAACGTATTTTTTCAAAACTATCAACCACTATCCGTCATTGTACCATGGATGCGCCTCATGTCTTCCATGTTCTCAACACACGTTCGGATGATCAGCATTGGAACTTCTTATGAAGATCGCGACATCCCAGCTTTAAGGATTGGTGTATCTCCAAATCTACCTTCTGAGAATCTCAAGCCACGACAGACTATCATTTTATCCGGTGGATTCCATGCTCGAGAATGGATATCCGTGAGCTCCGTTACATATACTGCCTGGTCTTTGATTACCTCTTATGGAAAATCGCCTGCTATTACAAAGCTTCTACAAGAATTCGACTTTGTCCTCATTCCTACTGTCAATGTGGATGGATATGTGTATACTTGGGAGAATGACCGTTTATGGCGCAAGAATAGACAACAAACCAATCTTCGATTCTGTCGTGGTGTTGATCTAGACCGCGGATTCGGGTTTGAATGGGGTGCATCAACTCAAAGTAATCCTTGTTCCGAAAGTTACCCAGGAGATGCACCTTTCCAAGCCGTTGAATCCCATCGATTTGCAGAATGGGCTAAGAATGAGACCGAGAATAATAATGTACAATTTGTTGGTTTCCTAGATTTACATTCATATTCTCAACAAGTTTTATATCCTTATTCTTATTCTTGCTTGGCCGATCCACCTAGTTTAGAAAATTTGGAAGAACTTGGTATGGGACTTGCAAAGGCTATTCGAATTTCTAGTGGCGAACAATATTCTGTTGCTTCAGCTTGTGAAGGTGCCGTTTCCTCAAAAATACCAGGCCACTCATCGACAAGTAGAATGGAAACTGGAGGAGGTTCCGCTATCGATTGGTTTTATCACGAATTACGAGTACGATATAGTTATCAAATCAAGCTAAGAGATACAGGAAGTTATGGATTCTTGCTTCCCAAAGAAAATATTATTCCAACGGGAGAAGAGGTTTTCAATGTTATCAAATACTTTGGAGACTTTCTTCTTGGTGATAAAGGGATTGAGAAATCGATTTCTTCAGAAGAGGCTTTGGTTACTGAACCGGTGAAGTCTGAATTACCCCTCGGAGTTATGGAAGATTCGGTGGTCCCGGATGAATTGGCAGATGAATATGAAGATATCAATTGGGAGTTGAAGCGAAAGCGGAAGTAGAGAAGATAAATTGACATTGAGAATGACACGGACATGGAATTTGATGTTGATGTTTATAGGCGTAATGAGAATCAGGTAATACCTTATGGATGAGGCGCTGGTGGGTTCATGGCGTTGTGATAATTGCACAATGGATAGATACAATGTAAGGAAGTAGCTTCCTACTCGGGTACTTGATAACAGAATTATAATCAAGTTGTTTGATTGTGTTGTGCTGCTAGATGAATGCAGGTATATACTATGTACTCCTTCCTGATAAACATCATTCCGATTACGATTCCGAGTTTCGAGGTTTCGAATCGAGTATGATGGACGACTTCTTTGCCGATTCTAGTAAATAGTAAATGTAATTCCGAATTGCCGATCCTGGGGAGGTGAGGGATTTGATTTCTAAGGATGTGAGGATGTGAGGATGAGAAGTTTCAAAGGAGGGGCGGGGTGGGTGTTGAGAGGGGATATCAATATACAGGTGTATCATATCAATACCACAGAGTAAAAAGGCGAATTTCAATCATTAATTTTTAGGATATTTGCACTGTTTGGAGATACTGTACTGACCAAGGGAAAAGTGAATTTTTATATCTTTTTCTAAAATCTTGTAATGGCTTTTGGGTAGATGGAGGATGAGGTGTGGGGAAGTGTGAGGAGGGGGAGAAGCAGGAGGGGAACAGGTATAGTTTGGTGTTGTTTATTCTTATAAGATGATGAGTTGTAAGACTACTACGTAGGTAATTATTAATAGTAGGTGGTTATGACTACTAGGTACGTAGAACTATATGATCCCGAAACCTTAAAATATTATTAATGTTGGAAGGATAGAATAGATTATTTTTAGGTCTCGGAAAACTGAAGGTTCCAAAATATATCTAGTATCTTTCCATAGAGAGAGTTCACTGCACTCATCTCGTATGACAATTCGTGATAATTCGTGAAAATTCGTGCATTACAAATCAAAGCCGACGTTACGATATATCATAGATGCCGTGGTTACGAACTGATGATGCCATCACAGGACCCTCGGTGGGTTTGATGCGGGGTAGGAACCAGGGGAGGGTAGGTGACTCCGATGTGCGAGCGAGTATGATGGGTATATTTGGGACTACATGTTTGGACATTGTTTCTTTACTTTCTTCTGTGATTAACTCGATTACCGGATATTGAATAACCTTGCGATAAGCATCGAAGTTTTTAATCCTACAGCTTGATCGTTGCGTGTTGGAACTTGGATTTCTCGATTTGATTCATTGTTTACCTTGAATTGGACGGATCATCTACTTCCTTATCTGTCTGATTTACTCCCTTCTCAAATCCCATCCCATCCCATCATCTCACCTCGCCTCACCTCACCATGTCTCCCCAACCCTTCAAAATCTCCATTCCCCAAGCTAAAATTGATACCCTCAAAACTAAGCTTTCACTCGCCGAATTCCCCGACGAACTCGACAGTGCAGAATGGGATATGGGTGTTCCGTTGTCCGATATGAAGCGGCTGACGAAAGCGTGGGAGAAATGGGATTGGAGAGTTGCGGAAAAGGATTTGAATAGGAAGTTGGAGGGTGCACAATTTACGACGGGGGTTGAGGTTGATGGGTTTGGAGAGTTGGATGTGCATTTTGTGTGGCAGAAGAGTGAGGTGGTGGGGGCGGTGCCGTTGCTCTTTGTGCATGGCTGTGGGTGATTCTTTTCCTCTTTTCTTGTATGACGGGGTGGGGATAGGGATAGGGATGAGGATTGGTGAAGAGTGTTTGGAGGGGAGAAATAAATAGATGAATGGATGGATCAATGAATGAATGAATGCTAATGTGAATCCATCAATAGGGCCAGGATCATTCTTGGAAGTTGTCCAGCTTCTTCCACTTCTTCAACAACCAGGAGGTCCAGCATTCCATATTGTTGCCCCTTCACTTCCCAACTATGGCTTCAGCGAAGGAGTCAAGAAACGTGGATTTGCAGTAGCTCAGTATGCGGAAACTTGTCATAAATTGATGTTGCAATTGGGTTATGATGAATATGTTACGCAGGGTGGAGATTGGGGTATGTTTATCACCAGAGCAATTGGGAAATTGTATCCTAAGCATGTGAGTTTCTCGTCTTGGATTCTAGGTATATTCATCATATCTGTATAGATATTAACATCACACAGTGCAAGGCAAGCCATATCAACATGGTCATCGGGCAAGCTCCCGCCTCCCAAGAGGAATCCCCATCCTATTCGCAAGCCGAGCAGGAGGGATTCGCTCGGACCAAGTGGTTCGAAGAGGAAGGCCGCGGATACTATGCGGAACAAGGCACCAGGCCGCAAACACTCGCCTACGCACTGCACGATTCCCCCGTCGCATTACTCGCGTGGATTTATGAGAAACTCCACGATTGGACAGATGCCTATCCATGGACCGATGATCAAATCTTCACCTGGATATCTATCTACCAATTTTCTCGTGCGGGCCCCGGAGCCGCTCATAGGATTTACTATGAATTTACGCATACGCAGCCTGGGGAGGGAAAAGTGACGAGGGATGATGTGTCGAATTATATTGGGGAGGTGAAATTGGGATTGACGTTTAATCCGAAGGAGTTGGTGGTGTTACCCAAGACGTGGGGGAGAACGTTGGGGGATGTAGTTTTTGAGAGTGATAATTTGGAGGAAGGGGGAGGTCACTTTTATGCGCATGAGAAACCGAAGTTGTTGGCGAGGGATCTGAGAGGGATGTTTGGGAAGGGGGGTGGAGCGTTTGGGGTGGTGAAGGGGAAGAATGGGTATGATTGATGGGGTTTGAGTGAGGGTGGAGAGGAGGTAGTTGGGAGATGGGAATGATGAATTGGTGATTGATGAGTATATGTTACGTAGCTGGGGATAATGAGTATTACGTTGCAGTTCAGAGCGATGTTTCATTAAAAAGTATAAATGAATTGCAATTGGTATCACTTATACACTCTTCTAGGAAGTGGAATCATCAATCAATATAATCGTTGAAATCTAGAAATCTTTCGTTCTCTCACTAGGCGTCCAGTATGATCTCTCTTTTGACTCATTGGATCTTCATATCCCATACTTTACACTTCATACCTTCCCCCTCCACCCCCCTCCCCCCGTGATCTCTGAATCTTACAGATACATAATAGATAGATGGATGAAGATACTTGTTTTCTGGATTTTAGATCCTCAGTGAGGTCAGTAAGGAATGGAGTGAAGTGGAGTGAATGATATGGATGGGATGGGATGGGAAGGAGTGAGTTATGTTTGGATTGTTGGTTGATCGGACTAGGGAGAGGAGGAGGGAAGAGGAGGAGGAGAAAAAAAGGAAGGGGGGCGAGAAGGGGGGGGGAAATTTGAGGGAGGCACAAGAGGAAAGGGAAGAAAAAGAATGGAGGAGGGGGAGAAAGGAAATGAGAGGGTGGTATAGAGTGTAATTTCTAATATTTATATATATATATATATATATATTATTTATTTATTGATTTACTATATATCAAGATGTCGATTTGAATGCGGTAGTTGGGGATTTGCAATTGGGGATTTGCAATTAAGATTTGAGAGGGAATGTGAGAGTGAATAATGAATGTGAGAGTGAATGTGGAGTGGAGTGGGTTTGAGAGTACAAGAGGGGTGAATCTTAGAGGGAATACGAGAGTGAATATTTTTTGGTATTTGCTATTGTAATATATATATGGAATTTTTTGCTGTAATGTATGGAGAGGATGATGTAGGATAGTATAGGATTTAGGGTGTAAGGTATATTTCAAAGGAGATTGGAATGTTGAACAAGATGGATGAGTAGGTAGAGGATGGGGAATAGGGAATATTGTTTGGAAAAGGCGAGAGGAAGAAAGGGGGGAGGATTTGGGATTGAGATCTGGAATGAGATATTGATAATCAAAAGTTGAGTTTATAGGTATGTATGTATGTATGTATGTATGAATATATGATAAGTTGGTTGCATTGATATTGATTCGATAGATAAATCTTGTACGCTGCTTTGGAATCGGAAGCGCAGGAAAGCGAGGAAGAGGTTGAAACCCGATGGTTTGGTTCAGTATGGAGTAGGTAAGCATAATTGATATACTGTATATGATTCCCATTCCAAGTTCCCAACAACAGAATACTCATCCCATGCTGACAGATCAAACCAAGTTCAATGATATGATACTATATGAACATGGCGTGCTCATCCATCATCCCTCAATTGATTAATCAACCATCAAGTTCTCTCCTCACTAGACACTAGACACGCTAATATAGTACTTTTCAGACTATATATATTATTCATCCAGAGATGCAATGAGTGAGTATAAATGGACACATTCCCTTCCTCTCTTCTCATCTCATCTCTTTCTCAGTTATCACTCCGTCTCCGAGGGAGAATGTCCGGGCGTGGTAGGATTTGTAAGAGGAGCAAGTGTATTTACCGAGGCCGATTTGGTCGATATGGCCAAAACCCTAAAAATAGATTTCTGTTTAATGAAAAAGTGTATTTAGTATTTAGGAATGTATAAATAAAAATCAATGTCATTTGTCACTATATTACTTTTATAATTCAATACTCTTTGTTCCTTTTAGACTTTATAAAATACTAATATATTAATTCTTTATAAATATTAAACTTTCTTTAATTTTTTTTTTTCATTTTATATAATTTCATTTATATAATTATAATAATTCAATCTTAAATTTTATTAACTTAATATAAAGAATTAATTTATAAATAATATAATAAATAATATAATAAATAATATAATATTTATAATATTAAATAATTTTTTCTTTAAAATTTAATATTAAAATTGAAATTAGAATTATTAATAAATACTTTAATATTTAAAGATTTAATTAAAAGTTTAGAATTAACTATAATAATTTTATATTTAAGAATAAAATAATTATATGTGATTTCTTTTTATTATTTAATGATAAAGAAATAAAAAAAGCTTTTAAATTAATATTTATAATATATTTATAAAATATATTAAAAATATATATTTATTATTCAAACTTTATAAAAAGTTTTTATTGAAAGAATAATATAAATAAGATTAATGTGAAGAATGTAGAGTTCCGGGTGTTACGGAGGTACCCGCACCGCAACATGGATTATAAGATAAACCTAAGGCCTTGGTGTTGGGACCTACGAAAACAGCACTGTAGGGACAGTTGAATTAAAGGGTAACTAAAGATAGCGGTAACCGAATAAATAAGCAGTGATTAAAAGATAGGTACCTATCTTTTATTGGCACCTACCCCACAGTAGGCACAGGTTGCACAACGGTTACAGATTAGCTAGTAAGCACAGGTTAAATAAGCGGTAGCCTTACCAGGTCACGAGGACAAGTGTCACGTGAAGGAAAGTCGATTCGACTTGTCGACTCGAGTAGTCGAGTAGACTTGACGATTCGATCAAAGTACGAAGGTCTATATAAGGGAATGGGTTTCATTACAATGTAGAGCTTCGTGCTCAAGAACAATCATTAGTTTCATTACTATAGTTACGAGAATTGCAACCAGTTACAACCTTATTGAATTCCTACTTGAAGTCTAGTCTAAACCACCTCGAGAGATCTCTAGCCACTTCCACGTGACCCTAGAGGCAGCTCCCGTAACACCGGGGGAATCTCGGCCAGGGCCGAAGGTCATGCTTATATAATATATCATATGATATAATGAGAAACCAAACCTTTTCAGGCTTGATAAGAACCTTATAGGTATTCAAAATCCCTATATATATTATTCTTTGAATAGTAGGTAATAAAAAGAACAAATATAATTCCAACTTTTCTTATAATATTATATAATTTATTTTAGTTATAAGCCTAATAAGTATTTGAATTATAAAATATTCTTTCAAAAGATTTTTAAATAGCTTATATAAATTTATAAAACTGAAATATATATATTATATTTCTATTTTCTTATAATCATTTTTTATCACTTACTTTCTTTTTATAATATAATTTTACTAATTTCTCGTAAAGTTTTTTTCAAATTTAAATCTTTATAATAGAAACCAAGCTAATTATTCTTTTTAATAATAGAAAGAACCATAAAAACGTTTTTCTAAATAATTATATTAAATGGGTTAAATAGTATAAAGAATTGGAAAGAAAAAGTAAAACTTTTAGGGTTTGGAAATATATCGAGTCTGGTAAGAGTAATAATAAGACTGACCTTTCCTCGAAACCTATTCAATCAAAGTTATTTGTAATTATATCTCGATCGGAATTACTCATTATTGAACCCGTTAAATAAGACGATATTATTGTTAAAAAGACTGTAGATAACATGAACATTGTTTTATTCCAAAGATATCTAGAGAAGCAAAGATAGCTTCAATCCTTATAAAACAGTAATTTTCAGATGTATAAGATTAAACTTGAAAAGTAGGCTCAAGATAAAAAAGAATATGATATAATCAAGATATGAATCATTAGATTAATATTAGCTGTCATTCTAATAAGAGTATAGAATATATTTATTATTAATAACAAATTATATTCTACAAGAACATTCATTATAATATTTCAGAAAGAACTGTAATTATTTAATAATGAAATACAAGAATTAATATGTTTTAAATATATTAAAATTATTGATAATATTAAATATACTTATATATCAATAGTCAAATAATATCAAAAGTGAACTAAAGCTTACTTCAAAATAATGAAATATAAAATTTCGAAAATCATTGAAATATTAGGTATCAAATCCTTCTTGATTGTAATTACAATTAGGTTTGTATTAGAATGAGCAAATTCAGAGCTTTGAAATATAACTATAGTATAACTCGAAAACTTTAATATAAGATCTCTATAAAAATATGGGGATATTTTTGATATATTTGTAACTACTTTTCCTTATATGGCATTAGCTAAGGGAAGAAATGAAAATAATGTAGATTAATATTTAATACTTTAAAATAAATTATTTAATATAAATATATTTGAATTATATTTATATATTAAATCTGGCAAGAAACCCTACAAATAGTCCAATATTAGATACTATTAATTAAAGTATATACTCATTAGGTTTAATTCGGAATTAATCTTAAATATATTTATTAATTAAAATATAAAAGAAATATTCAATAAAGTTTAATTAAATAAATTTAAAAATGATTGAGCTATTTAAAGAGAAAAGAAATAGCTGAAAGCTTATATTAAAAAAAAGAACAAAAACTTTATTCTTTTTCTATAGAATAGATAAATATTATTATAGCTATTTTAAACTTAAATGACTTTAAAAAGATCGAATTATTCATTAATATTTATTTTACTCTTAAATTGATTAATCATCTATTATTAATATCCACTCTAATGAATAATTATGATGTAATACATATTATAAATGATAAAGAATTATTCGTAAAAAAATCATACTAGAAAACTAAGGATAGAAGGAAAATCTACGTCGAATTCTCATCCCTTTCGATTAAGGGCTATAGTATAAGAGTGATTAGTAACTATCTTAAAGGTAATATAAGATTGAATATAAGGAATTTAATTCTCAAGAATATCGCTTATATTTATGGCTTTAATATCAATATTATCTCTAAGATAGTTTTTAGTAAAATAGGAATTTAGTATTACAATCTAAATTGTATATTGAAGGAGAATAAAACACTTGAAAAGAGTAAGATTTTTAAAAAGTTAGAATGTAAATTTGTAGTTATTTTTTTTGAATACAAGCTTTTATATTTTTATTCGTTTTTCTTATATATCCTAAATAATTTGATTGATATTTTAATATATTCAATAATTATAAAAAAAGTA